ATGTGGGATCAGAACCCTCGGCGGGAGCGCCACTGCGCTCCCAAGCGGCACACTGTAGCAGTGCGCCACCGGGCCGGCCCCTTTTCCAATTTCTTGTGTGATTTTTTACTTTTTAGTGGTATCTTTTGATAACCAGAAGTTCTCGATTTTAGTATAGTGTAATTTATGCATATCTTCCTTGTGATTAGTGGAATTGATTTTTGTAAACAGTACAAGGTAGGGGTCCAATTGCATTCACGTTTTTTCACACATGTGTACAACACTGTTCCAGCAGCAGTTATTTTAAACACCCACCCATCCCTACTCATCAGTCACAGTTTGACATCTCGAACCCATCTCACCAATCTCTGTTCTTTCTTCACAAACACCACACAGCCTTTAATCAATAAGCTTTAGAAGAAATGCTGATATCTGCAAGGGCAAGTCTTCCTACACGAGTATCTTGGTTATTCTTTTGAAGCTCTGTGTACACTTTAGAATCAGATTTTCAAGTGATACACACAGACACAACACACACGAACACAACGCGTGCTGGGACTGTGACTGAGGCTGCGCTGACTCTACCTGGGGAAACATCTTCACAGTGTCCCTGCCACCGCCCATGAGTGCTGTGTGTCTGTTCATTCGCTTAGGCCTTCCTACAATGTCTCTAAGTTTTATAGTTTTCTCCACAGTCTTACAGAGTCTCTGCTATTTTAGATGCTGCTATTTTGTATGGTGTATTCTGTATGCTACTTCCATGAGTGCTGTGTGTCTGTTCGTTCGCTTAGGCCTTCCTACAATGTCTCTAAGTTTTATAGTTTTCTCCACAATCTTACAGAGTCTCTGCTATTTTAGATGCTGCTATTTTGTATGGTGTATTCTGTATGCTACTGTAAATAGCACACGAAGGTACTTCAAAAAGTTTGTGGGGAAACAGAATTAAAAGATGACATGAATCTTCCCACAGACACTTTGAAGTGCCCTCACAGTTTTCATTTTCTAACATTTCTTACCGATATGCAGAAATGTCTTTCATCCTCTTCCTTAAAAAATACATGAGCTCGGTACAGAATTCTAGACTCCAACCTCCATTAGAATGAGGTTACTTTATTAATAACTCCTTGGGAGACAATTTGTCTTTTATATGGGATGTTTTAAAACATTTTTTCCTTGTCTCAGGCATTTATCAGTTTAATTATGATGTGCCTAGAATTTTATTTACCCTTCCTGGATTCGCTGGGCTTTACGAATCTGTGAGTTGGCGTCTTCTGACAGTGCTGGCAAATTCTGAGACACTGTCTCTTTAAATATTGCTTCTCCCCAACTCTCTCTCTTCTCTCTTCCTGGGACTCTAATTAAATGTATCACAGACGTCAAACTGTCCCCTCACTCTGTTTCTTCTGTATTCTCCGTTCCTTTGTCTCTCTGTATCTAAGTAATTTCTTTAGCTCCAGATTCTAGTTTACTAATACACTTTTTAATTATGTCTAATCTGTTGTTAAATCCATCAATTTTTTTATTTTAATAATATTTCTCATTTCCACAAGTTTTATTTGGTGCTTTTTCAAATCTGTCTGGTAATTTAAGAAACAGTTTTCTGTTCTCTTCAGATGTTTTTAATTCTGCCTTTTATTTCTGTAAACAAAATAATCACAGTTACCTACACTTGGTTCTGCTGAACGCAGCACCTGAAGTCTTTGTGGCTGTTTCTGCTGTGGCTTCTGCTGCTTTTCACGTGGGGTCCTCTGCTTCCACACGTGGTCAGAGCCACTTCTGATCGGGAGCTTCTCATTTCCTTCTCATTTTACTGGTGAAGAAGTCTTTGAGGCCTAGGACAAAGGCTGGCTCCTCAGAAGGAATTCTGCCTGGCACCTGGGAATGACCGTCCAGAATCACTCTATCTCAAACCTTCAGTTTGAGGATGTCTGGTTACCCATCTAGCACAAAGTTAGGGACAGCCTGTTGTTTCCAGCACTCAGCAGGATTTTTCTCTTTTCTTTCAGCTCCAAGGTTTGAGAAAGGCTGATTCCTTTGGGGGTGGGGAAGAGGGTTACCTCCAGTTCACGACTGCAGTGAGGGCCCAGCTGTTCGGGGGTCCCAACTTCACACAATCACTTATCGGCTCCCCATTTTGGCTGTGCTCTGACCCGGGTCTTCTCTCCCACCTCCTGTAAAGCTGTGAACATCAATTTCACCAGGTTTGGGAAATGTCCCCCAGGGAAAGGGCTGCTGGGTTTCCCTGTGGGTCTCCTCTGCCTCAGTGCCTGGCCCGAGCATGCCTCATGTCTTGGCAGTTCACAGGTGCCTGTAAGAACTCTTGCACCCAAATGGGCACACACACGCCCACACGCGATGCCCACCTGCTCTCAGCATTTGTTCAGCCCAGTAACCAACCCGCAGCTAGAACCTGTGCCTAGAATCTGTAGGCTCTGGCTCCTTTTTACAATTTTTTGCCTTCGCCTAACCTTTAAGTCAGCTGTTTGAATTTTAAGACTATTAAAATCCACTTTAAATCTTTTCTGGGATTATGTAAAAATCAAACAACTTCCTGAGCTCCATCTCCTTTTGTAGGAGTTGCTGATTCCTATATTGCTGGCGTGTCGAGGAGATGAAGATAATACTCAAGGAGTGCTTTGTGAGCTCTAAAGTGATCCACCTTTGTAAGACATTATCACAGCAAACATTAGTTGTTTAAAAGCTGAGTGGAGAATATTGTTTAAAATGAGGCCAAACCATTTCAAAAGCACTCTGGAAAGATCAGGACACGCAGACAATGAAGATTGTGACCTAATACCTGTAGCAACGGCAGGCAGGGTGTGCTGGCCACGTCTGAGCTTCCGCAGAGCATAGCGGGCCTCTAGGCTTCAGTCACAGACACTCTGTGCCCACCTTGCCTTAGCCTCCGCTGCTCGCAGCAGGGGCACCCCTCGGTCTGATGGCCTCACAGAAGGATGCCCAGAGTGGCTCCCGCTGCTTGTGGAGGGCTTGCTAGCTGGTGCTCCGGCCGAGTGTCCACTCCTCCTCCCATCTCACGCTGCCCACCGCAGAGTGGAGGTGAGCAGGCTGATGGGGGGTCTCGGGCTGTTTCAGGGACATTCTATGTGAGCTCAGGTTTGTCCTCCATGTCACTGAGACAGTTCTGTGAAGCATCTATTTACTTCTTCTGTCCTCTGAAGATTTTAATTTTGCTATTTCATGCTCCGTTTCTTGCAGTCTTTACAGACCTCATTCATCCCCCCTTTAATCCTGGATGATTTGTCTGCTCACCTCAGCTTGTCTCCACTTAGGGTTCTGGCTCCTGCCTTCTTGAGACCCAGTGCTGTGCATTGCAGACACTGTTTTCCTAGAGAACAATTTTCACAGGTCTTCTCTTTCTCAGGATAGTTGCACAAGATACACACAGAGCCACTGGTCCTACCCACTTACCTTCTAGGATGCTGATCAGATCTTCTCAAACATTCAGGCCGTGTTGCTGCAAAGAGGCCCTGACCTGCTCTGGTCTCTGTGGAACACGACCAGCTGTGGGAAGCTGCCTGGGGTACACGAACCCTGAGGATACCAGGGCTCTTGATTTTTTGCCCCAACCATGGGGCTTTTCTTATGGGGACCATGCCTTTCGGGATACAGAGTACCCTATACCTTTTTCCTGTCCAGCTGGTTGTGGGGAAGTGCCTTTTCTGAAATGTGTATGAGAAGACCAGGTACTGATTGGGGGAGTCCAGGGGGCAGGGGAGCTTGCTTTGCCTCAAAAAGCCAAGACAGCAGTTTAGGGAGAGGGCAAGGTCTCACCCTCTGGTCCAGTTATGCCTCATACTCCTTAGCTGGGCACAGGTGGGAGGGAGGGACAAAGAACACGGTCCTCTGTTTTTCAGTGGCCAGGTCCACTCTGTCTCAATGGCAGAGTGTGGGTGAAGGTGTGTATGTGTCTGTGGGTGTGATATCAAATTTCTTTGGCTTATGGTGAGTGAACTTTCCACCTGATTCTGCAAACAACTGATCATTCATCTCAGTAATTTTTCACTGCATTCTATGGATCTTCCTAAGTGTTTTAGAAGAAAGCTAGGAAAGACAGGGTCAGGGGCTTTGAATCAAAAACTGCCTTAAAATTTCAAATGTTCATTTTAAAAAGTTCTTAGATCAGTATAAAGGGGGAAATAATTTTTAGCACAGACTCAAAGATAAATATAGAAACAAACAGTTTACAATCTATACATTGTCTACTGCCTAGAAAATAGTAAAAGTAATATATTCATAGCTCATCTGCAATATACTACCACTGGAGATGGACACATGGCCAGTGGCATTTTGGGGTTACCACTGGCATCAAGTGACAAGTAGATGACAAGTGTCCTAGCCCTTGACTTTGCACTGGTGATATATATATATTTTTCTTTTAGAAAATATTTAACTCTCTAGAGACTCAAACTTGGGTAGATCTCAGCATGACCGACACTGAGGAAATGTCTTACCTGAAGCTACGCCTTTATTTTCAGCATCGTCTACTGTCACAGACTGTCCTGTACATTGTTGCCAACTCCTCGAAGTCTAGGAAAGAGAAACAACAGGGAATGTAAGATGTCGCATTTATTACACTGATATTTTTCTTTTAGAAAATATTTAACTCTCTAGAGACTCAAACTTGGGTAGATCTCAGCATGACCCACACTGAGGAAATGTCTTACCTGAAGCTACGCCTTTATTTTCAGCATCGTCTACTGTCACAGACTGTCCTGTACATTGTTGCCGACTCCTCGAAGTCTAGGAAAGAGAAACAACAGGGAATGTAAGATGTCGCATTTATTACACTGCTAAAGGGGACAGAATGTGCCAACAAGACTACACGTTAGAGATCAACTTTGGGACGAGGGCAATCACTTCCCTTCTCTGAGCCTCAGAACATTCACTTGTAATGTGGGCACAGCTGAAGACTGCTGGCTTTTCCTTCTGCATATGTATCTGTACAGAGACAAGTTGCTCTTTGCCTCTTGTGGTAGTGAAGCAGCCCAGTTTGGATGCCAGCATGAGAAAAGAGGGAGTGCGGGGCACACAGGAGGTCCTCTCATGCCTGGTACATTCTCCACATGACTCGTGCCTGATTGTGGCAAGTTCTGGCTACCAGGAAGCTCCAAGTGTTTTTGCACCCATGTCTTAAATACAAGTGTTTTGTTCCTTGCCCTGATGGGACCCTGGCCAACCAACCAATGACTCTATTGTCCCATATATGCTGGCTAATAGACAGGGGGAGTGACCAGTTCCTGCCCAAACTTGCTGAAGGGTCAGGGATCGTGATCGTTTTAACTTGCAGTGCTGATGGTGGAAAGAACTAGAGGCTTGAAAGTATGCAAAAATTTCCTATGAAAGTTTTGAAAGACCTACAAGCAAAAAAGTCACTAGGAGACTTCTACATAAAAATAGCAGACCTATCATACTCACCATCTGCTATAGTCAGTCTCCTTTCTCTGATCCAAGTCTTAAAAACTATGGGCAAGATATAAATAGATACACGAATGAGTAATGAAATAACTTCAAAGAAAAAAAGGGAAAGTTTTCTGGACCAAAAATGATGACTCCTTGAAGTAGAGAAAGCAAACAGGAACCAGTTACAGAAGGACATAGAGAAGCGTGCTGCAGAATAGGGGAGAGACCCTCAGGGCATCACCACTGAGGAAGCCATGGGTGCTGAGGTGGGGGTAGGGCTCCTGATGGACGACTAATTGGGGAACTGCAGGCTGAGCAGCCAGGCAATCAATTACAAAATTCCCTGAATCCATAGGCAACTATGGGGGTGTCTGTCTCCAGATGAAAGCAGTGGAAGCAGTAGTCTTCGTAGAGACAAGGACATGCAAGAAAAAATATACAGAAGGAATTGACAGGGCTCAACAAGTGAAGGTGAGCCAAGGTATTACCAAACTAATCTAAAAGTTACTGAGAATAAAGAGAAAATAATATATTGATTTGAAATGAATATTAAGACATGACAAAGCATGGTAGGTGAAGTGGTGAAGGACTGTGGAATAGAGATTTGTGGGGAAGGATATAAATGATAACTGTGTTGGAAAAGTACATATATATATATATAAAGTGGCTTTACCCAAGGACAATGTGGCATTACAGGAAACTCTAGAGGTTGGTCCCTTCACTGAAGCAACGATTAAGCTAAAAAGAGCAATTGGAAAAAACGACTTTGGAACTCTGAAACCTGATCAAACACTTGTAACAAAAGGGGAGTGCTTGAGGAAGGGAGATGCTGCCATTCTTTCATAAGTGGGCAGTGTATGTGAACTAGCTACCATCTCCCATCCCTCAGTCCTTCTGTAGCTGTGGGGGTATCAGCCCACATTCCTGGAGCAGCTGGCTGATGCCAGGGTGGGGAGTGGGACCTCGTCCTCCAAAAATCTGGAATTGTGTATTTTGGTTAGTCTGGTTTGGGCTGCTTGGCAGCAGTGGCTTCCTCCAGCATCATCTACTGGAATGTTTAGAGACAGACCTTTCCCCACCTTTTTAGCTAGATATTTAAGGAAATTTTTGTCAGATCTCTACCTGGCCAGAGAGATAATGAAAGAGAAACTTCAGTGACAAGGAATACATATTTTGCAAAAATAGTTTGGAGAAGTCAGAAATGGTTCCAGCCTTCAACAAGTGAAAATTCAGAATCCCTGAGGAATGGGAAAATCCAATTTCAAGTTACCACATTATAATACTCAGAATATTCAACTGTCAACAAAAAATTTCAAAACATTCAAAGACACAGAAAAATATGGTCTATTCACAGGAGAAAAAGACTTTGGAAGAATCTACCTCTGAGGAAGCTCAGACATTTGAATTACTAGGCAAAAATATTAATTCAGCTGAGCTAAAGGAAATCATGGACAAAGAACTAAAGAATATNTAGGCAAAAATATTAATTCAGCTGAGCTAAAGGAAATCATGGACAAAGAACTAAAGAATATCAGGAAAATAATCTATGAACAAATAAGAATATCAATAGCGACAGCAGTTATAAAAGAAAGAAAGAAACTCTGGATCTGGAAAGTACAATAACTGAAATGAAAGTTCACTAGAGGAGTTCAACAGACTTGAGCAGGAAGAAGAAAGAATCAGCTAACTTGAAGATTACTGAAATTATCCAGTCTGAAAACCAGGAAAAAAAAAGAAAGAAAATTAACAGAGCCTGAGGGACTGTGGAACACCATCAGCAGTACCAACAAATGCATCATAGGAGTCTCAGAAGAAGAGAGACAATAATGGGGGGTAAATGTTTAAAGAAATTATAGCTGAAAAATCCCCGAATTTCATGAAAAAAATGAATCTACACATCTGAGAAACATAATGAATTCCAAGCAAAATAAGCTTCAAAAATTCATACCAAGACACATTACAGTCAGATTGTCAAGACATAGACAATGAGAGAGTTTTGAAAGCAGCAAGAGAGAAAAGACTAATCACACACAAGGGATACTTAACAAGATTAACAGCAGATTTTTCATCAGAAATTATGGAGGCTCAAAGGCAATGGTATGACATAATTAAAGACCTGAAAGGAAAAAAAATCAAACCAAGAACTCTTATTTCTTTTTTTTCTTTTCTTTTTTTTCCTTTTTGTCTTTTTTCGTGTCCTGCAACGGATCGCAACCCTCAGTGTCACGCCCGGACCGGACCGGGACCGTCAATGGGATCGCAACCCTCAGTGCTGCGCCTGCACCTCCCTCAGCCAGTGAGCGGGAACCGGTCTGTATGTGGGATCCGAAC